CTACATCGAGCTTTAACTCCTCGGCCTTGCCCTTGGCTATTCCAGCCTCTTCCCGGGCTTTCTGAAGGTCATTCTTGGTATCATCGCGTTCCTTCTGAAGAAGGAAGCGCTCAGCCTCCATGTCCGCTATTCTCTTCTTATGTGCTCGAGCAGTATTCTCGAGCTCAACAGTTTTTTGTGCCTCGTCTTTCCCCTTTAGAGAGAGACCTCGGGCAATGCTCAACGTCTGCAGTATTAAAAAGACGAGCTTAATGATCGAGCCATAGAAATTAAGACATATTGCAAGTAAGGTGAACGAGCTTACCTTCAGCATAAGAGATTCTAGAGCTTTCATGCCCTCGTTGAAACCGAGGTCCTTTCGATAATTGTCCACGATGCTCGACACCAGAGGACACCAATTTGGATCTCGATTTTGAAAAGAAGGCACAGGAAGGACCTCATCCTCGTGGTCAACAACCTCGGGAATACTCCTTGATCGAGGACTTGACCGAGGAGTGGCAATCGGAGTTTCGTGCTCATGAATGATCGGGGATTGTCCTCGGGCAGATGTCTCGCCAAGACCACTCCTAACAGTCTCAGGGCCTGAATCTCGAGGCCTCTTTTTCCCATTTTTCTGACCTGGGGCTCGGACTTGAGGAGCCCTCGACTTCTTGTTCACGGCCTGTCGAAGAGCTGAAGGATCGAAAGTCATCCCTGAAAAGACAAGTAATTAGCGTGAGCATAATTAACAAAGACGAATCGATGAGAAAAAGGCGAAAGTACGATCCCTACCCTCAGCACCTTTCACATCTGCAAGATCGAGAATATCATCCCCTAAAATGTCATCTATATCATAAACAAGAGGCTCGAGGTTCTCTAACATCACCCTATCCCTTTCTAAAGACTCGAAATAGGCCTGCCCTTCACAAAACCTGGCCATGTCGGGCAAAACCCACCTAGGACTAAAAGGAAAGTCAGAATCCTGAAGTATGACATAAAACCACTTTTCTTTCCACCCCTTTAATGAACTTGGCATCCTCGGTATCCTGAAACCTCCTCGAGATGAAAGATAGGCAAAACATGTATATTGAGGTAGCTGTTTCCAATCGAAGACCATTCTACAAAGGTCGATGTATGGGTCAATACCTATGTACCTACATGCTATAAAAAAGTAAGTAAGCATCCTCCATCGGTTTGGCATGAGTTGACCAGGGCTCATGTTGTGCTCGACTAGTAAGGCCACAAAGAAGGGGTGCATGGGCCATCTAAACCCACCCTTTAGCGAGTCCCTAAAAACTACAAACTCTCCATCTCGAGCAATAGTCATCCTATCCTCACCCCCTGGTGTTCTAATATCACACTCAGGCATGAGCCCATGATCCCTAGCCGTCGATATTGCTAGAAGCTCCTTAAATTTACAGGGAAGGTCGGGGTACCTAAGGGGCATCGAGATACTTTGTGCCCGATGATGTACATTAATGGGCACGGCCATGGGTATGATCGAGCGCTCCCTGTTCTCGGGGGTACTCCTTGAGGAAGAGGACGAAGACTCACTACTACTACTCGATATCCTGACCTAGGCAAAAAAGTGTCTATAGAATAACTTAAGGTCTCGAGGTCTTACCTTAAAGTCGACGCCTAAAAAACCCACCAAAGTTCTGATCCCGACGATTAGCGAGAGAAGTTTACTGAGAGTGAAAAGTGAACAAGGTATTTATAAGCAACATAAGAGGGTATCCCAAAGGTCACCACCCCGATCGTCAGATCTAGCCACGTGTCCTACATCCAGCCCACAACTCTTTTTACCGCCTTTTCTTATTTAGGGCTTACCTCAGTACACGTCAGCCCTTCTGCACACCTGTCTTCAAGAACTCCCTCGAGCTTAGGCACCCAAGCTCTTTTCGTTCTGGCTTATTTTGCACCATATCCTCGAGAAAGGCTCGAGAATAGGTGCACGGGGGCCAATGATATTGACAGTTCCTGCGTATCCCGACCACTTTTATCCTCGACCATTCACGAAGGCGTTTCTTACGATTTTTGGTCATTAGTGCTCGGGATGTATTGGGTCCTCGAGTTACATGTGCCCGACCTTGATAACTTTTAAAGATTGTAAGATGTCCTCGGGAATAATAGCTCGGGGAATCCCCTTGAGGTCCTCAACTACTATCTTCATCATACTAGGGAGAAGGTCTATCCCCTGAGAACTCTTATCTGACACAAATACTTCAAACCACATCTCCTAAGTCTGAGAGAGTCCTCTTAACAATTGGTCTTCTAATCATAGTAGGATCCAAACACTGCTTTCTCATGGGACTCTATCGGATAAGGATGCCCAAATAGTTAAATCCTACTAGGAAAGCACCATACACCTCTATAAATACAGAACCTTGAGCCATTATTCAGGTACGTTTCTCATTATTCTCCAATTTATAGCCTCACGCATATAATTCTCTTTTTGACTTAAGCATCGGAGGGGCGACGGGAACATACCTCGTTGCTTTTGTTTCAGGTACCAAAAGACTACGATCGTGCTCAATCAAAATCATCAAACCCGAAAAATCAACAGGTACGATTTTTGGTAGCATCACTATAATTTATCAACCTAGTTTTCATAAATTTCACATAAGATAAAAGCTCTTTTCCTCATTGAAAAAACCTGGTTTCCAACCTCTTGCCTTGCATGAAAATGGAAAAAAAATAAAAATAAAAATAAAAAGAGAGATTGCTTTTGTGATTCCTTGACTTATAGACAATTAGCATCAACACTTGGACATTTGTGTAAGGCGGAGCCACTTATAAATGCAGGACTTGAAGGAATAATTAAATTTCAATTTGATTTTATCATTTTTCATTGAAGTGCAAGCCACATTCCCTACCATTCCAACCTATTATTGACAGGGATTTCATTGATACTGAAGATAGCTGGCTTGCCAAGCCACCCACTTGAGAAGCTAGTTGCCAGAAAGGAAAAAAATTTGGTTAAAGAAAGCAACCCTAATGAATTTCCGAAAATTTGCAAAACTTATTTTCTTGCCTACTAGAGGAAGAAAAAAAGAACTTAACGGGATATAGCTAGCGGCATAGGAGTTGACTCGACACAGTGACTTTCGTGACGCATTGGAGTGATCCAATATTTGATTCCATCGATTTCACTATTTCTTCATTCATCTCTATCATAAATTTAAATTTTTATTTTATCTTTTTTAATTTTAAACCCTTCGATTTTGACATTAAATTGCAGTAAAAATTCCAAAACCTAACTAAATCGCTTTAGAACGATTTTTCTTACTTCAACATAGCTCTTTAAGCGATAGATCCACATGATATCAAATTGACGGTTTTAAAAAACTTTTTCAAGTTCGATTTTTTATTTGGGTTAAATTCACCAATGACCACTCAATCTTATTCTGGTTCTCATGGTCACCCCAACTTTATTTTTAGTATCCCCATAACTATCCAATTTGATTTTATTTCACCATGATCATCCAATTTCATATAAACTTTCGTCATGGTCATCCAATTTCTTTTTATCATTATCACTAATTTTAAAATGGGTAAAATGGTAACTTTGCGTTATATATAAAATAAATTTAAAAAACAAAAAGAATTTTTGAAAATAAATTTTTATTTTATTTTATTTTTTCAACTTACTTTTTTTTAAAATAACTTTTTATTTTATTTTATTTTTTAAGGAACTTTTTTCAAAATAACTTTTTATTTTATTTTATCTAAGTAACGTTGTTTTAAATCAGTGTTTTATTTTATTTTATTTTTTTAAATATAATACAAAGTTATCGTTTTACCTCTTTTAAATTTGGTAAAAAGGAGTGAAAAGAAATTGGGTGATCATGGTATAATATGCTATGTGAAATTGGGTGATCATGATGAAACGTTATATAAAATTGGGTGGCCATAGTGAGATAAAATCAAATTAGGTAGTCATGATGACACTAAATATAAAGTTGGATGGACATGGTGAAATAACAAATTGGGTGGTTATCGGTAGATTTAACTCTTTTTTATTTTGATAATTTTTGCTTTCGGCAACACGATTTTTTTTTTTCAATTTTTAAAATAATAGTGTGTTTGAATGCATTTATTTTCCATAGAAGATATTATTTTCCCACCCGAATTCCTATTTTGAAGTGTTTGATTGTTATTTTTTCCATTGAAAATACTTTTTAACTTTTAAAAAAATTCCTTATTTTCCTTATTTTTAAAGAAGATATTTTCTTTGGGAATGGTAGATTTTTGTTTTCTTCAGAACAAGAAAAATATTTCTTTTTCTAGGTGATAGCTTTCATGTCTAAGAGTGTGTTTGATTATATTTATTTTTCATCGAAAATAACAAATTTTCACTCAAATTTCTATTTTAGAGTATTTGATTGCTATTTTTTCATTGAAAATATTTTTTAACTTTTGAAAATATATTTAATATTCCTTGTTTTTAAAGAAAATATTTTCTTTAGTTTTAAAAAAATTCCTTATTTTCCTTATTTTTAAAGAAGATATTTTCTTTGGGAATGGTAGATTTTTGTTTTCTTCAGAACAAGGAAAATATTTCTTTTTCTAGGTGATAGCTTTCATGTCTAAGAGTGTGTTTGATTATATTTATTTTTCATCGAAAATAACAAATTTTCACTCAAATTCCTATTTTAGAGTATTTGATTGCTATTTTTTCATTGAAAATATTTTTTAACTTTTGAAAATATATTTAATATTCCTTGTTTTTAAAGAAAATATTTTCTTTAAGATGTTAGAGTTTTTGTTTTCCTCAAAATAAGAAAAATGTCTTCTTTTTGAGGCGATATTTTCCATACCAATTGTAAATTACTGGTATTTCTGGGTTGAGATTTTTTTTTTTTTTTAAAATATCCTCAAAATAAGAAAAATGTCTTCTTTTTGAGGCGATATTTTCCATACCAATTGTAAATTACTGGTATTTCTGGGTTGAGATTTTTTTTTTTTTTTTAAATAAAGTAAATATTGGCTTATTCATAAGCTAGGCTAGGCTTTGGGCTGGCCAAACATGCTTTATTACCACACTACGCATCACTTCTATCAGGAAGTCACCAAATCAAATCAAATCAAAACCAAAATCAACTTGAAATCACAACAAAAAGCTTCCATTTTTCCGAGCTCAGAAGACGGGGCTGAAGAGAGAAGGTGACGAAGTAGAAAAAGATGGACGACTACGCTCGAGAAATGATGGATTTAAAAACCCTAGTCACTCGTACTCTTGAGAAGAAAGGTGTTCTCGCTAAGATCCGGGTTAGTATTCCCTTTTCAATTTCGTTCTCTTCTTTGAGTTTTCATTATGAATTTTTTCCATCTTTTGCCCTGCGCATGTGCTCCGTGTAATTTGGTAGATTCATCATGACGTGGAAATAAAATTTTTCACGGATCGTGTTGTTTCGCATGCATTGCTGATATAATTATGTTTGAATTAGGGTTTTGTGTGTTTTTGTTACAGAATTAAGGTGGGGCTCTAGGTTATTGAGTTTGTATTATTTTACAATAGATGTACATTCTGCATTGTCGGCCGTACCTTGTCGTGACTCATATTCTTAATGAAGTTATTTTGATGCATTTATCTGGTATTATTATACGAATTTGGACTGATTAGAAGTTAAAGCTCGGGTCAGGCGTACAAAATTGAAATTGGAAATATTTGGATTACTACTAGGGATTGTATTTCATGAATTTTCCAGTTTGATGTCCAATTATATTTTGCCAAACTCATAAGATTTGCAAAAGAATAAAGAATTTTGAGTATGGTAAATGAGTTATTGATATTTCTAGAGGCAACGGTTATAAATTTGCTTGGCTTCCAGTACATAGTTTTTGTAATGTCTGTACTTCTTCCATTTTCCATTTCCATAAATAAATTTATTTGAAGTGTTAATCCATACTCACAAGAAACTTATAGATATGTATGATTATGCATACATATTAGTAGGCAAACAAGAGTTTTTGGTGGGTTTAAAGTAGAAGATGTATTGAGTAATTTGGTTGATACTTGACCGGTTTGGTGCTTTTACATGCTAGGCTGAATTAAGAGCGAGTGTGTTTGAGGCAATCGAACAGGAGGATAGAGTCATCGATAATGAAGAAAGTTTACCTCCTGCACTTTTGGGTAGCTGCAATGATCGTGCAAAACAACTTCACAACTCTCCTTCAGGTTTACTTTTATTCTAAGTTCTAACCATCTCGCTCTTATTTTATTTCTTACATTTGCTCATCTAGCATACTTAATTACTCCATGTCTATGCATGCTATAGAAACTAGGTCTTTGTGGCACTTAACAATAAGAAAGAAAAAGAAAATTCAATTACTCAAAGATCTCTTTACACGCCTCTATAATGTTTCTCTATACATTTGTACTATCTTTTGCAGTTGGGACTGGATAGAAAGTATGGAAATTGTTGAAATTCTATGCATTTCACCTCCCTACTTTATAGCCTAATTTATTTTGCTTAAGCTTTTTGCTTGTCATTTGATTTGCTTATTGCAGGAAGGCTGCTAACTGCACTGATATGTGAATATTTGGACTGGGCTCAGTTAAACCACACACTAAAAGTTTATCTGCCTGAGTGTAATTTGGTATTTTTTACATGCATCATTGCCAGTTTGCAATATTTCTTCAGAAACTCTTGTTTGCTTTTTGACGGATATCTTTTGTCTAACACCAATGGCTTACTTTGCAGCCAAAGGAATCCTGGAAATCTGAATTAAAGGACTTTAGCAGCAAAAATGGTTATGACCTTAATAGGAATGGAGATAGTGGTCCTTTACTTTTGGATGTTCTTGAAGGATTCTTGAAGTACGAGGTTTGACATGACTTCCTGTCTTACTTTTTGAAAGAAAAGTATATGACTTATTGTATTGTATGTTATACTTTTTTAAATTGAAGTCATCCCTCATATGCTGGTGTACTACTGTCACAATTGTGAAAAATATTGGGTGACTCCTACCATGAGAGTTGAACAACCTTGGTGAATTGATGTTCATTATCTTACTTGCAGACAATACCTTACATTGTGAGCGTGCTTCTTACTCTGTCTGATATACCATAAAGAGTTACTGAACAAATAATGCCTAACGATCACTATGATTAAAGCTTTATTTAGGAATGTATATTGATGTCAGCAGATTATCATTCTTAAAACGTAAGATTGGCTCAGCTATGTAAATATTTCTTATTTCTCAAGTTCAGATTTTCACTCATAATGGATATCTTACACGGTTGCTATAATCAATGATAAGTTTTGATGTTATGCTTCACAATACTTCAAATGTGTCCAAAAGGTTAAATGCTATGGTAATGCAATTTGGTTTAGGGTTGATGCTATATGAAGGTTGTCCACTGGATATTTACACCTATTGTGAAGTCTTGCATCTTTGAGTGATATTTCTGTTATCAAACATTCTATTTCAACCTATGTTTTGTCGAAATCAATGGAAATGATCTTTTCATTTGCAATTCTGATGTGTTTTCTTGCAGAATTTATCTCAGGGAAGGGGTAGCAATAGGAGATTAACCACCCCAGATGCTGAATCTCTATCCAACTTGGAAGCCCGAAATATCAGGAGACCTTCTTCATCATCAGTTGCTGGGGGAATACCTCCTTTGGGAAGGTTTTTGCTAATTATGGTTTTCTTTCCCTTTATTTTTTTCTCATCATTCACCACTTTTAGTAAATAAACTTCAGTTCACAATATGCTCATTGCAGGACTGTTCCTGTTTCCCAGTCATCTGGTGAGTATTAGAACCACTTTTTGCATCAACTATGTAGTATTAGTTTAATGAATAATGCTTTTTGTAGTCGCTCACTACCGCAGCCGTCTTACGTGACGTACATGTGATGGTTAGTTATTTGATGCATACGGCAATAAAAAACTATCACATTAATGTGCTAAATCACTAATCGCCACATATATGTCATGTAGGCGACTATAGCGGAGAGCAACTACAAATAACATTATTCTAGCTCAATTTGGTTTTATCTTAATTTATTGATTCTTAGATCGAAGAGCTGGATCATCCATATCTGGGTATAGAAAAGATGATCATAATTGGAGATTTGACAGCGATGAGCTTCCAGAGGATGTAGGACGTGCATCAGCGGCCTTAGAAAACCTTCAGCTGGATAGAAAAGCTCGAAATTTGACCACCTCTTGGAGGTTTGTTTTTATACCCTTGGCATAGAATATGTTCTAGAACTTTTTCCAGAAAGAGAGAACTATTACAATCAAAAGATTCTTTGGAAAATATGAACTGTTCTCACGGTTCATTAAATACTACCAGAATTGTATGGTATATCTAACAAGTCAGTACACCAAATAGTGATTGTGTTACATTTTAGGAGGATGTATATATCAGGACCTGCACTATCTTGTTAGGCAAACTTATTCGTTATATAGAAATGTCTCTAACTTGCAGATTGATTCTACCTAATTTTTTGAGGAATAATTTCAAGGTGGCACTTTTTACTTGTATTCTCCTCTTGGCCAATAATAATACTGCATACGGTGTTGCCAGCTACATATTTTTTCTGGCTCAAGGGTTGATAATAATGGACTATGCATTAATGGCAAAACCATAACACTGAAATAGACATCAGGCTGTCCTACTTCCTGTTCTGCAGCGGCTAATGCCCTGTAAAATGTTTGAACAGTATAGCCTATGTTTTGTCTTGGGGAGACATGATAGACTTGCTTATATATCAAAATGCAATCTTTGGAAAATAACCTAAGTGTCCTCAACTCAGATTTTATTGAATTTTAAAATATTATAAATTTTAATGAATTTTGTTAATTTGAATAGATTTCCATGTAATCGTTAAGAGTCTCATTGAGAATGGTGGAAATTTCAAGAGAGTTTGTTATGTGAATTTATAAGCTTGAAATTCATCCAAATCTTTTGAAATATCTGTATAAATGAAATCTTTATAAGAACCCTGAGTTATTTAGAATACCTAGATTTTAATGGATTTTATCAATTGGGGAATTCTGAATTTTCAAAGACTTTTAGAATCCATTAAAATCTCCTCACGCCCCTGTAAAAATGGGGAAATGCACACAATTGAAAAACTTCTGTGCTCAAGTGGTGCAATTTAAGCAAATTGCCAAGAAAGAGAAACAATTGAGAGACTTGATTATCCCAGGTTGAGGCCTCTTCCAAAACTTCTTGAAGTGTTTAGACATAAGTGCATTGGCATCAATTCGAAGTTCAGGAACTATGCGTGGACTGAGCTTAACCTAGTTTACCAAATTTGGTTTCAGGCATGCAGGGGATGTAATGTCGAAGGATGATAGCAGGATAGACCAGATGTAGCCAAATGGTCTCTTGACTTAATTCATGTTTGGTTTTCTTCGCCCGACAGTATGTTATGTTACGTAATGGGCAAAGAATATGTAATACTGAAAAATATACTTCTTTTACCGTGTGTTAGTGATTCTATGAGCTCGGTTTGTTACTCTGATTCGTGCTCTTCTCATACCAATTGTATTATTTAGCCCCTGTTTGGCCCCCATTACGGAGAAAATTTAATGTATAGAATAGTGTTTTTTGAAAAATGAGTGGTTGAAAAAGAAAGAAAAATTTTCGATTTACGTGTAATATTATTTTATGGAAGATTGTGTGGTTGAAAATAGGAGAGAGAAAAATAGAATGTAATTTAATGTAATGTAATTTTTCTCAAACAAGGGCTTAGTCTAGGTTGTATTTCCTGTAGAATGAAAGCCCAAAGATTTGGACATTGTAGCGAGTGTCTGTAAACGGCCAATGTCAAGCTGTGCTTACAAAATCCCTGAAATTATTATCAGCAGATTCCAATAGGGATGGACAAAGCTCCCAAACCGAAACGATCGAATCCAAATTGAACCGAATTTAGCGGTTCTTTGTAAGTTAAATACTCGATTAAGTATCTGAATCGAGAACCGACGGATTTGGTTTGGTTTTAGATCAAGAATCGAAGAATCAAATAAGAATCTAATTTACCTAATTTTCTCAATTAATTTATTTTAAATAAGTCAAATTATTTTATTTATATTTTAACTAAATTTGCTAATTAGTTAATTTAGCTCAAGCCTAAAACTATGATTTTTCTATTTCTAATTTTGAGTTCAAAGTCTACTTAATCAAATTTACCTAAATTTTATCCAAATTTATTACTCTACCATAGTGCCCTTTTTACCATTATGGAGAAATCAAATTTAAGTTCAACGTTTCTCTTAATTATTGTGAGTTCGTTACCTTTATTTTTTTCGTAATTTTAACAATCAAATCTATGAAGAACTCAGTAAAAAAACATAAAATATACATAAAATTAGACTGTGTGATTTTGTAAGAGATAAGTTAAGATTGAACATATTATTAGTTGAATTAATGTAATTTTGTAAATATTAAAAAATTTAATTATAACACGGAACCTGGGAATCGAATGGAATCGAATCCGAACGGTTCCATAATTAAACTTGGATCCGACGGTTTCATTTACTAAATTCCCGAAAATTTTAGGTTCTCGTTAAAATCGAACAAAATCGGACCATGTCTAGGCCGAGATTCCAAATTTATCCTTTACTCGATTTTGGATTCTCCTTTCCATCTCCCTAGCACCGAGGACGGAGTCGTCGTTTACCTCACTAGCCTTAGAGGGATTCGAAGAACGTTTCAAGACTGCCACAAAATTCGAATGATTTTTAAAGGCTTTCGCTTACGCCTAAACGAAAGGGACATTTCAATGGGTGCAACTTACACGAAGGAATTACAGAAAGTATTGGGAGAAAGCAATGTAAAGAAGATGATGTTTACATTTTATTTATTTATTTAATTATCCCTTTATTTAGTTCTTTTAATAGATATTTACTATTTTGTCCCTTTTTTAATTGATTAAAATGTGGTCAAATTTAACTTTTGGGTCAACTGACATAGAAATGGATGGAAATCATCTACAAGGGTCTCGCCTATAACGTTTGAAAAGATTAGAGGTGATGATTCCAACAAATCAAAGGTTTAAAAAAAGTCTGCTAGTGTTTCAAATATTTTGAATTTTTGATGCAATTATCCGTAAAATTAATGATGATAGTCAAATCACATCATTGATAGTTGTTAGTCCAATTGATGGAATTGGATGGAGTTGTCGAAAGACTACTGTCATTTTTTGACTATACGGAATCAATTTTTGTTAATCCAAGCGATAGATTTGAATGGAATAATTGAATTAAAAATAAAATGCTCAAAAGTATGCACAAGTGCGTATTGATTTTATTTCTTTGTCATTTATATGATCCAATGATAAAAATCAGTGGAATCAAATTATTCGCAACAGTATCTTATTAACTTTTGAAATATTTTCTTTTTGATGAAGAAAATCGAGTGTAGGCTTAAAAAGAATTTGTTTTAGGGAAAATTACGACCACGGTATCAAACATTTTACTTTTATACGAATGTGATCCATACCTTTAATTTATTGCACTCATAGTACTAGACCTTTCAAAAACACGCATCTGAAGTTCAAATTGACAAAAATTGTTACTTTCTATGTTAGTTGACCAAAATCAAAGGTCTGACCATGTTGACTAATTTTTAAAGGATAAAAAGGTAGCGAAAGGTAACTCTACATTTTATCATATAAAAAACTAAAATAAAAAATCAAATAAAAAATAAAAAACCCTATTATCTTCCCCACTCCACCCCACGCCACCCTACGCTACCTCAACCCCAAACCAGCAATATGTCGGCACCCCACCACCAGCAGTCGATAGTTTAGCCTTCCCAAATGGATCTTTCCTTTCCCTTTAGATTTACAACTTTTGCTCACTTGAAACTTGATGAAACCTCAACAATTACTGTATCTTCACCTGAAAATTGCGAAAAAGGTATTCACAACTCAAAGATCCTACTTTTGCAGCAAGGCCAGAAACTCTAGCTCTTGAAATTATTTCCTCATGATTATACTGCCATTTCATTTAGTCCATTTCAAATATGCAGTGGTGATATTATGAATTCCACACACAGTTACATATATGGGTGTAAATTGCTTTACGAAATTTATATAATAATTTTAATAATTCTTCTCAAACAACACCACGTAGGCCCTGTCTGTACATGCCCCCACCCCCGCCCCCCGGTTGATAGGTGCCTGCCTTGCCAAGCAGATTTCTAATAATTTATATAATAAGGATGAAATGGATAGAAGCAGAACTAAGTTGGGGTGTATTACTATAGCTAGGGTTTGATTTGAGTAAGAAAATGAACGAATTTGCAGAGAAAATTTGATAGATACTAGTCGATAGCACCTGCGTTGCACGATTATTGTATTTAATCTGCCTTTATTAGCGTGGTGTAGAGATATTTTAGTTTTTTTGGCTGATTATGCTTTCGAAGTTTGGAGTAAATGTTTTGGCATCAATCTTCTTATGTAGTTAGTAAAAATTAGATTTAAAATTGTGGGTATAAGTAAAAGTTAATTTATAATTTTGCTTTAATAAAGAATAATTTAATTTTCTTTTTCCTTTCTTCTAACCAACTTTTCTTTAGATTATTTTATTAATTTCTTACATTGAAAATTAAAAACGTTTTGAATGTAATGAGAGAATTTTATGAATTAAAATGTTAATTGAAAGAGTTTTTGGAGGATAATTTTAAAGATTGACTTTTTATTATACACACTATCTCATGTTTAGAGATTTGCTAAAGACATTTCATTTAAATAAATATGAATATTAGAAATGGGTTTTGTTTGAAAGTAAGTGGGAATTGTAGTCAAATTATTGTAAGAGAATATTGGACAGATAAATGCCAAAATAGGAAAGATTCTTGCAGAAAGGAATATACTATTTCACCAACCTAACCTACTTCATTTATTTGTGACCTCAACTTTATACTTCCTTTGTTGATATCAAATTCATAGCATTTTTCATCTGTCAATTCATTCATCTCAACAAATTCTAAGGTAAGTTGATTTCTATGAATAAATGTTATTTATACGAATAATTTATGTTGATATTTGTGGAAGGAAGGTGAAGTTCTTGTGAAAAATGAAGTTTGGTATGGGAAGAAATGGTGAAGATGATAAAATTATTTGTGGGAAGCTTGGTAGAGATGTGTGCGGACTCCTCGCACAGATCTGTGCGGGGATCCTCCCACTTCCCTGTGCAGGAGTTTCGCACTTGCATTCTTTTTCGAAATATGTCTTGACGCAATGATTTTTATATAAATTGGAACAAAATCTTAGAATTAGAAATATATATTAAATGTGATGATTGATAGTAATTTTTCTTCCAACTTAGACGATAGTTACATTACGATATATATGATATATACTTACATGAAATTAGGAAGATATGTTGGTATATATTATGACATCTTTCATTTATATTATTTGTGACATTTTTCATTTCTATTATTTGTGCAGATGTCTCTAGACTATATAATGTCACCAAACCAATAATTTTCTAGTACCATCACTCAATACTCGAATTATCGGTATGTAAAAGATTGTATAGCATTGCTTCAAGCAGATGACCAATCACTTTTAATCTCTAGTGATAGCAGTTTTTATGGATTTCTCTACGGATTTATGTATAGAGATGAAGAAGAACAATTCAGCAGTAAACTAATACATGAATTTATAATGAGGTTTGTTGATTGTGGTAAAAGGAATGAGGTGTGAGTGAGGTTTGAGGATCATTTTGCTCATTATGGTCCGCAAGAATTTTGTCTAATTACAAGATTACCTTGTCACGAAGAATCTGTTAATCTGAATCCCAATAATTCTCGACTTAGAGATCAATATTTTGAAGGCAAAAAAAGAATCAACATGAGAATGCTTTATGATGCATTCCAATCGTGTAAAGATTCGGATGATAAATTAAAATTGGGATTGGTGATGTTGGTAGAATGTGTTTTAACACCAACAGAAAGATATATTGATTATAGAACTTTAGGCATGGTTGAGCAGCTAAATGATTTTTTGCTGTATCCTTGGGGCCGTAAGGCATACTTTATTTTGTTGAAGTTGTTGCAACAATCACATACTGAAAGAATACAAAGAAAGCAACAGGCAGGCCAAAATGAATGTAAATATACACTACATGGATATCCTCTTGCTTTTCAGGTAATTTTTTTTTTAATTTATTTACTCTATATGTTGATTTTATACGTATGTTAATATTGATTTTGAATCCTCTGCTGTAGTTTTGGATATATGAAGCGTTTTCTCAAATTGGAGACAAATTTGACCGACGTATGTATAAGATAGTGTAGGCTCCAAGAATGCATAAATGGAAGTCAAAAAAAAAAAAAAAATTAAGTGAGAGAAAAGTAAAGCAATTTTTGATGATTCAAGAGGTATGATAATTTTAGATATATATTTAACTATCAATTATTTAATTATTTAATAGTGGGAGAGAAAAGTTTTTTTTTTTTTTTTTTATTTGTAGATTGAAGTAATTGCAGTGTTAGTACCTACTGAAGAGGAATTGGATAAAGTTTGG